AGACACCTATACTAATCATATAGCATATTGTCACCAAATAAAGACAACAAATCTTGAGAATTATACAAAATTAGAGATTAACAAAAATAAAATAAAATAAAATAAAATAAATCAATTATTTATTATCTACAATACAATTTTGTATAGCTTGCAATAATATTGACTTGTCATTTGTATTGATGATATCCATTTAAAAAAAATATATATATCATAGAATATTCTTTATTATTATAATAATTAATATAAAGAGGCAACTATTTATTATTACATTTGATATTGTTAATGTTGAAAATGATGACAATTGGTTGTAGTTCTTGCAAAAGTTGAAGATTGTTATTTTTGCATCTCGTCTATTGAAAAATAAAATTTTAAAGTTTACTTTTTAATTTGATTGACAAAAAGGCCTTATTAATATTATCAACTATGCATTTTTTACATATAAACATGTATTCTATATGCACCATTTAGTTGATAATTTATAATGGTAATTTAAAAATCTATTTTTTATCCAATATCTTTAAATAGCAACACAAGCAAAAATTATTTTTGATTTTAATATCAAATGGTCAAAAATTTGAGATATATTTGAAGAAGCTACTGAGTACTTGATGAGCACTAGTCTATAATATTGGACATCGTCACAATTTGATATAAACCAATTTAGCCACATGACTTCAAATATTACAAAATCTCTCAATTTTTGGATCTTAAAAGTAAGTGATATGTCGTCAATTCTAATGTTAGAAATAATTCATTGACAACTTATGGCATAGTACAATGAGTGGCGTATTAGTGCCAATTCAAGTAAGAGACCATTGTCAACTAGTGTATATAAGTAAATTGAATGATCAATGACATTTGCACATGGCTATCACATCATTCTTTCATTTGATATTATCTTTGAATGCATGTTGGAGCAATCCTCTAATATCTTGGATTTACAAAATAGCACATACACTTGCAATTCATGGTAGCTATCTAGAATTCCATGTATGTATGCAATTAATGTTTTATTATTTATGCAGCAATCAATTACTAACTATATTTCTTACTTTTATATTATTCAAGCCTAGTAAGCAATTTATACAATAGCCATCATCTCAATACTATCTATTGAATATTGGATAGAACCAAGCAATATAGGAATAATCAAAAGAGTGTTTAGATGTATTTGATGCAAGAGTACTAGGCATAATTTCTCAACTTGTAAGGAACCAATTTAATTGCTTTATTAAAGTGTTGCTTAATATAATATTAAAGGATGTCATGTTTGAGAAAAAGAGTCATTGTAGGGCTTGCTTGTAACCTTATAAAACCTAGGTTTTTAAGCACATATACTACAATTTTGACCATATTTTTAATCTTCTTTAATATCTATACAATTTACTTTCAAAAAAGCTTAATATCATCACAAATATACTAAAAATTACTCTTCTATTATTATTATTATTATTATTATGTATTAAGACCAAGTAAATATTAAATAAATTATATTTATTTATTTATTAAAATATCATTTTTTTTCTTAAACACATTTCAAGAATATTAATTTTTAAAAATCTAATATGATACATGATTTTGAACTCATATAATATACAATAAATCAATATATAAATTTCAAAACCTAATTTGATGCATGAATATAATTTTTATGATATAATATCATAGATATTTGAATTCAAAAGTTATATAATAAATTGGTAGAACTGCAATGATTTTTTAGGAAAACAAAAATGAATAAAAGATACAATGATATCTTAATAATAAATCTTCAATAAACAATAATTTATTAAGATTATTAAGTGTAGAAAATTTTAAAAACATTTATTGATATTGATCATTGAAAAAAAATATTTAATATTTCTTTTCTTCTTTTTTTTTGAAAATGAAGTTATAAACACTGTAAGTTTGATATTTGGTTCTAAGATAACAAAGCCTACAGCTTAAAGTTATCTTATAATGAAATATATATATATATATATATATATATACATATATATGCATTAAAACATTCTTCTTTTACAATCTCAATCCTTCTTGTTGTTGTAAATTGTAAATAAGAAAGAAGGTCAAAAGCCACATCATGCTTCAAACTTATAAAGAGAGATCAACTCCATAGTCACTTTTACCAAGATTTTCTCATGATCACAGTGGAATGTAAATCCCATACTTGCTGTTTTGCAAAGGCTGCAAAAAGATTAAAAGGAGGCTACATAGTTAAAATTCCTTTTTTATTTTTGAGCTAAAAATATATTGTAGGTGAATAAGAAAATTCTGTCTAGTTAGAATTTTTTTGTGGTGGAGTTTCATTGTGGTGGGATTTTATTGTTGATATGAACTGAATTAAAATTTCAATTCATATATGAAAACTTTATAAGACACATAAAAAAAATTATAGATTACCATTTGATAGCGCTTAAATATGAATTTGATATATAATTTTTTATTATTGTTAAATACAACTTAAAAAATAAAACTCTCAGGATGCAACTTATCCATATTTAAATGTGTGTATATAAATAAATAAATTGTCAGTATTGATTCCACTTAAACTCTGATAAGAAGAATGTATTCTGTGTTGTCACAATGGACACATCTTCAAATTATTAGTTTGAAGTACAAGTTTTATTCTATTTATATTTAATCACTTAATAATAACATGAACAAAAAGAATGAGAAACTGGTGGCACTGGATGTCCACTACGTGTAGTCAAAACATGAATATTACAGACAAATGTGCGAGTCCAACAGTATTGACATTGCCCCTTCAAAGCTCATATTTCATGACTTTGTTGCAGACAGTTCACAAGAAGCAACATTGTTGAGCTGCAATGCAAGAGCCCCGTCTGAAAACACCCTGAAATCTAGATGATTTTACACAACAATTTGCAACAAATTGACGCGCAAATCAGGTCCGTTACAGGTAATTTTTTTCCAATAGGTTTGTTTCTGCATGAGCTCACATGAAACCTTGTTACATTTTAGGAATTGACTCTGTAGTTGGCTATCTTAAACTAGTTTAACTGTAGTTGGCTATAGTTGTAGTTCAATGGTGGAAAACCAGGTTATCATCGACCATCTCGAGCAGCCACCATCGCAAGCAGCGACCATGGGGAGCAGCGGCACCGTTGGCAAACTAATCAGAACCTCGTGAGAAAACAGACGCAATGCTGTGCCAAAGAGTGTACAACACGCGTTAAAGGGTCCATTTCGCACTAAATATGGAATGAGAACGAGAGGTTATCAAGGTCAGGGGTATGAGGGGCAGTTCTGCAATTATCAAGAATACAGGGGTATTCTTGATATTTCAGCAATCTGCAGGGGTATTTTTGAATTTTTTCTTAAATTTTATAACATTTTGATTTGATTTTAATTTATGTATGTGTACATGTATATATATATATATATATATATAAAAAAAATTTGGGATTGTTATGTTTATAAAAGCAATGATTGGAATTGATTTTGCTATTATTAAGATTTTTACTTTAAAAATTAAACATCTCTGTAGAAAAAAATATCATGTTGATAACTTTGAGTGGTAAAAACAAACCTTACATCTTTAAAATAAGCTTGAAGCTAAAAAAATAATTAATATATTTTTATTATTTTTTTATTTGTGATAATGTTATTAACATTAAATAATAAGTTAATAAATAATAAGATAACAATAAGAGTCATGCAAACATAAATAAAAAATTTGATAGCTCAAAAATCAGGGTAAGATTAATGTAAGAATAAAGAAAAATTAAATAGAAAAATATGTAAAATAATTCTTTGTGTTTTAGAATTGGTTTTTACATTTATAGTTATAAAATTAAATTTAAGCAAAAATAAATGTTATTATTATATTATAATTATCTGAACTTCAATTTAAATGTATTTTTTACCATTCACTTATTAATAGTAATGTTAATTACATAAATGTACTTGTCTGTTTTATTTTATATCAATTTTCTATGAGTATATATGAAAACTTAAAAAAGACAAGTATCTATTTAATGCGTAAGACTAAAATTAATAATTATAAACATTACTTAAAAACATAGATTAGGAACCAGATGCTGGCAAATAGATTTGAGTGCTTGCATTGGTAAAGAAGTTGGCGTGGATTTGAAGGTCTGCACATGAAGATCGAACTTTAATAAGATTTGTATTTTCATGAACCACACACAAGTTTTGAGACAGCATAGAGTTGAGAGAGGGTACCATATTCATTTGATTGATATTCTATTTTATTCAGCGGAGAAAATAGTCAAAGTGGAAGCCACCCAGACAACTATGCAGGAATCGACCGTTCCTGACTAGAAGCATCTTGAGATTGGCTTCACCCGCACTCCTCATGCGATACCGATCCGCAGGAGCAGAAGTGAGAGAGAGAGTGTGGATATGTGTGTGAGCAGAAAAGCGAATCTGGCAGCGTGGCTGAGGAGGAGGATCAAGCAGAGGCAGAGGCAGAGAGCGAGAGCGATGCAGAGGAGGAATGAGCTACTGGAATGAGCGTGGGAGCGTAGAAGAAGCGTGGAATCAGGGGTGGGGGGTTGGTTGGTGGAGGCGAGGGTTTTGGGGGGGGGGGGGGGGGGGGGGGTTTTGACTTTGTCTTGTAAAAAAAAAGGGTTCTTTTCCTTATTAGGGGGGGCCGGGGGGGCCCCCCTTTTGTTTCCCCCCCCGAATTTTCCCGGCGCTTTTGGGAACCCTTTTTAAAAATTCCCCCCTAAATTTTTTTCGGGTTCCATTTTTTTTTGGTTTTGGATTTTTTTTTGGGCCCCCTTTTTTTATTTTTTTCCGCCGTGGTAATTTTCCCCCCCCCCCCCCCTTTGGGGGGGGGGGGGGAGGCCCCCCCCAAAAGGCCCTTTTTAATTTTTTTTCCCCCCCCTCC